CGGAGGGGAAGAAACTGTTCAGGTGGCGAGAGGTTTTGGTCATGATGGAGCGCAGCCTCCTGCCAGAGGGGAGGGGGGTGAACAGTTTGTGTCATGGGTGGCAGGGGTCAGGGTCAATGTCGAGTACGCTTTCTTGGTAGCACATGTCTTCCGAGTCACTTCCTTCAGAAGCTAGGCAAGAATCCTTCCTGGCATTCGGAAAACAAAGAGTGGAACAGGCGAGCAAGTGTGCGTCATATGAGAGGCCGCACCTTACATTTTCCGCCACAGATTTTGGAAATTGGTCCGTGCGCAAAGCATTGTGGGGATTTTAAGACCGCGGAGTCTACACATGTGCAGCCTCGAAATTTCTCGCTACAAAGTACGCCGGGCTCGGTAGAATTCCAAGTATGCTGGACATTGGAACAGTCCTTCGGCGGCACTCGATGACGTAGTACGCTTGAAATAGTGGCTCTGGAGCATCCTTCCTCGACATTGAGAAACACCCTGAGGCTTAACTCTTGTGTTAAGTCATGTTTTTGTATTTATCTCATACCGAAAGTTACGAGGTAAAATCATATTCGCAGTTTGTAAATTACACTGCATGACATAACGTCTGGGAGCAAATTTATTTTATATGCTACACAAATGTGGCCAGGATCCGTTGAATTTTCTGAATATTGGGTTGCAGATTAGAATTTTCAAAAGGGAGTTTTGTTTAGCATGAAACACTTGAAGTAACTAAAGGATAAGTTCAAAAAGAAAGTAGAAAGAAAGTGAGCAATGATTGAGAGTCAGAGCCAAACATATCAGATGTGTGTATCTCACACTGCACTGTCACTTGCCTTGCATTGTTTTGAAATAAGCTCATCTGACATGCTTCCTTTGTCTTCCAGATTGGACGACCGGCCCCCACTGTGAGGACTGTCGCCCGGGCAGCTTTGGATCGGCGCTGTCTGGAGGCGAGGGCTGTGTGCAGTGTGAGTGTAACGGCCACGGTCACCCTGTGCGAGGATACTGTCACAACCAGACCGGCCAGTGCTACTGTACCCACAACACGCAGGGGCCGCACTGTGAGTCCTGCCTGCCCGGATACTACGGAGACCCCAGGTGAGGAGAGCTTCATCCTTTACCCGTGTTAAGGAAGACTAGCAGCAACAATGTCATATTTTAAACCATTCTATAATAGAAAATTAGGACTACCCTGTTGGCATACAGTAAATGTTGTACCTACCTTACTTAAGTTGAAGATTAAAGTGACACAAGTTCATATTTTGGCCGGACTCATTTCTAAAATCTAAAAAAGACTCAAATGAAAGCAGCCTGACTTAAACTACGACAAAATAAGATAAGATGGTCCTTTATTAATCCCCGTGGGGAGATTCAGTTGTTCAAGCAGCAACAGGGTAAGGGAGACAAACAGGACAGCACAGATTCACACAGATTAATACAATAAAAAATAAAATCAAGATAAAAATTTAAATAATAATAATAATAAAAAACTATTTCATTGAATTTCAAACCTTTATTTATCCAGGTGTATCCCATTGAGATCATTGATCTCTTTTTCAAGGGAGAACTGCTCAAGTAGGTTCCACATCAAACATAAAAAAAATATAAACAGAACAACAAAAAGGATTTTTACAATTTACATAACCATCCACATGAACAGGTACCAACAGCTTCCGATTGAGTAGCATCCAACTGAGCTCTAAAAACGTTTAGTGGCGCCAGATTGCTCAGTTTCCATTTCAGTTGCAGACTATTCCAAGACAGTGGAGCTGCGCATCTAAAAGCTATCTTCCCTAAGGCAGTCCTAGCAGTTGGCACATTTAATAAAAACACAGCATGCAATCTCAGGCAGTAGCCACTTACAATTCACCGTGAGATCAGGGAGCAGATGTAGAATGGAAGTTTCCCTAACATGGCTTTGTATATAAAAATGTACCAGTGACTGAGCATGCGTACAGTTAGCCTTCGCAAACCAGCCCTTGCATACAGGGTACAGTGATGGGTTAATGCTTTACAGTTTGTCATATGTCACTATGAAATAAGAAATGAATAAAAAATAGGAATACAAATAAATGTCAGCATATATAGTTGTCTTTGGCTAAAATAAAAACACATGGATTAGACTTTTTATTGCAATAAAGCTTGACTTAAAAGGCAGTTTGACTATATCATATGATTAAATACTAACAAGGACATTTGATAATTGATAATGAATACATTCTCATGTATTTGTATCCAAACAAAAACAATTCAAAATCAGGAAATGTAGATCATGAAAAGGTATTGATAAAAACAGAAACAGTGGAAGTGTATTTGGTTGATTCTGTGTTTCCTATCCTAACCCTACCCTGACTCCTTTCTCTCTCCAACAGGAACAATGGCACCTGCTACCGTCAGTGCCAGGGCCGCTCGGTGCTGCTCTCCTCCACCTCCTCCTCCGCCATGCCTCTCTCCTCCTCTCTGGGATGGCGTAGTGGCACAGAGGGCAAAGGAGGGCTTTCTCACTGCCTGTGGGTCCTGTCTGTGACGGAGAACCTGGCTCCATGTCTACCCAGACAGCTGTGCCCCCCTGTGGCCCTCACACTACACCCTGACTCCCACACGCATTGTAAAGTGAGTCCACAAATACACCCAAGCTAACAACATGCTAGCTGTGATGTAGCATTACACATATTCCTCTCTTTATAACTGACCTTGTGTTCTTTATGTTTTGTTCTGCAGAGCTCTTTTGTCTATGTGTTTGACGGCCTCCCTCGTTTCCTGCCCAATGGAGTCGTACATTCAGATCACAACCTGATTGGTGCATTTTGTGGCACCACCAGGACTGAGCCTATCACAGTGGAGGCCACCTCAGGTAACTATCTTTAAATAATAAACATTATGCCTGGAGAAATCTGCTTTGACACAAGTCCTTTGCAGGCCCACAGCAAAGGTTGAGCAATTGAAATGGTGTCAATCTAGTTTTATTTGAGTTATACTGTCCAATATTACATATGACCAGTTTGTCTAAGGGAGTTATTTAGACAGTACAGCATTCGAGACATCTGTCCTTAGACACTTGCAGTGCACAAGGACAAATATTCTTAAAATAATCCCTATAATTAGTAATGGATTTTCTTTTGTTAAACCTTTAGGAAAGACCAACAGAGGAAGGATCCTTCCTACTGTAGGACAAACCTGAAATAGATAATAGATAATATATTGTGCATTATTGAGATACGTTATAGATCTATATCTTCCTCCTGTTATACATACATTTACTTTTTATGTTTATTTTTATTTTACTATTCTTTTAACTAATATGCATTGTTAACATGCTGCTGTGGAGAAAGAAAAAAAATCTATTTGGGATCAATCAAATATATCTAATCTAAACAGCACACTACTACACATCCCTCTAAACACATGAACTACCCTTCAATTCAAGTCCCCTCGGTGCTTTGGGAAAGTCCTCTTACTGTCAAACATTAAAACATTTTATTCAAACTCTTAGCTTGATCAAATGTATATTATCTTTTCTCTGTTACCTCCAGGCGTGATCTCCGTCTACTTTGAGGCCAACGTCTCCTCGAACAAACCTCAAGGCTTCAACGCGTCTTTCTGGGTGCGGCGCTGCCAGCAGAGCTCTGATGGCGGAGAAGAGGGGTCTCCTGTGTGTCCGGGGGGTGCCGTGTGCCAGGAGGGGCTCTGCCAGTGCCCGCAGGGATTCGGAGGACCCCACTGCGACCGGCCCATGTGCCCTCAGGACTGTGGAGTAGCAGAAGGACGAGGAGCGTGTAATATAGTAAGAATTCTGACTATATATTAAGACATTTGGTTTTCATTTCTACGTTTTCTCTGTGGCACAGGGATTATTCAGTTCTGAGAATGTAATGGTTTTCGAGTTAAAAAACAATAAAATGAAGCTTATACTCTTTGCCATTTTATT